ACGACTTCCTTTCATTGAGCTGGTTGCTGTTGCGAAATATCATTGTCCGAATCACAGTCCACTGTAGCAGTATCACTTTGAGTGCGTTCCTGACAAGGTTGGAGTGTTGGCAGGTTCCCAGTACTGAAGTCTGCAGGTGGGTACTCTCACGTAAGATCCACCATGCTTCACCAATACTTGTTTACCATCTTTTCTGATGACAACACCAGGCCCATGCCATCTATCACTGTTAATGCTTGAAATATACACAATCTCCATTAACCCTTTCACGGGTAAGTTACCATATATGATCACTTGAAAGTTGAAATCGCATCACAAAAAGCCTCACCACGGCTTCCTGTTTGTTTTTGAGGCCTCCTTATAATGCCTCGGTCAATCCCTAATTATCTGACCATCGTTCTACCTATAGCATCACCAGCTGCAAAGTCCACAAATTGAAATATGAGCATTTAAATGAAGGTTTTGACTCAGACAATGGAATTGATGCTCTTTCCGCATTTTCTTCAAAAGATGGAAGTATCAATATATATATTTATTTATTTTGGCAACTTGATTAAATTTAATTAAATTAAATTTTTAGGTTTCTAATTTTTCATTTGCTTAAACTGAATTTTAATTATAAAGAAAAATTTTGTGTACTGATCACATTTATCGAATTCTTCAAGTGCGATTTAAACCTTCAATCGGCAAAATTTGCAAAAATTCATATAAATAAATATATTGTATAATACTTCTTACTTTCTTGAAATGGTTACTGAAATTTTAATTTCTGGATATTTCAATGCTTGCCCGCTAAAGGGTTAACCAAATCATCCACGTCCGATGTTTGTACTTGATGCAGCAATGCCCTCCTTAACTTTTCACTGGACTTGTTCTTCATGAAGTCCACCCGAGTGGCGTGCATGGCATTTAGATTATCGGCAACTATTTTGTATGGTGTCCGGTTTTACAGAGAAGGGAGCCTTCTGTCATACACGCTGGGAAAAGAAGGGTTTGTTCCAAAATCCAGCTGGTTTGGCAAGTATCCATGACAGTTCTGCAGTGCATTCCGGGCAGAGATAGCCCAGGACAAAGCTACACTTAGTTCACATTGAGTGTCATCAAGAATCTTCTGCACGCTAAGGCCCAATATATAATTTAGCCGCTCGCATACTCCATTACTCCATGGAGCTTAGGCAGCAGTGCATACCAACTTTATGGCAAAACTATCAGCAACTCCACGCATCTCATCATTGTTGAATTCTCCTCCATTGTCGGATAGAAATTGCTTTGGGGCACCAAATAAGGAAATCCAGTCAGTAAAAAGGCATTTGATGATTGTTTCAGCCTTCTTGTCACGGATCAATATAGCTCGACAGAAACGTGTAGCTAAGTCCATGAGCACCAAGAAATATGTACCAATTCTCCACACCTTCAAATCCATAGCTACCGTTTCATTAAAGGTCTTCGCCATGGACAGGGCAACAACAGGTCTTGGATGCTGTTTCTTGTATTTAATACAAGTTTCACAGTTCCTTGTCACATTGTCGACGCTCTTCAAGAGTGCAGGGTCTTCCTGTTCCATGTCAATCAGCAACTTCTTCAATTTTTCCGCTGATGGGTGTGCAAATTGCCTATGTAGCTTCAAAGCAATCTTACTTTTATCATGCGAGTCAATGTCATTCAATAAAATGCACTCAATTCGTGTCTGCAAAGGAGGAGAGCAGATGGGTAGATTGTAGTGACCCATAGTGGTAGAACCAAGTTTCACATGTTTATCAAAAACATTCATGGTGTTGTCATTCAAATTAATCACCATTCCAGCTCTCTTCATGGATGACCTACTCAGCAGCAGAGGAATGTTAGAATTGACAACATCAGTCAGTCTTCACTTTCACAGCCTTGCCGGCCAACACACATGGGAGTATGATGCACCTTGTGGCTTTCTTGCATTGACCGTCCCCAAAGCGATAAACTGAAGTACTAGTCTCGGTTCTGATTGATTTTTGTTCAGGATCTGTAAGAGTTTCCATATAGCACCGTAACCACTGTTCACCACACACAGTCTTTGAACAACCCGAGTCCAAAAGAAATTTTCCTATAGTTTCACCTAAGAGACTGTCCATTTTCCCATCCGATGCATCACCAGCAGCCATTAGAGTAATCTCTACTTCTTCATCGTGTTTGTCGTAGTAGGGCTGGTCGCAATCATCACCGTAGAGCACTGAAGAAGTTTGATGCTCAAAAGCATGAGGGCAGTCTTTGGCCCAATGCATTTGAGAAGAACAAATGGCACAAACTGAAACTGATCCATCAGGATTAAGCGGATTATTTCTACTGCTGGTAGAACTGTTACTTCGTGTAGGAATTGAAGAGTCTTGGCGGTAACTAGCAGCACCTCGGTATGTAGGCGGCATACCATACCTCCTTGACTGACCACGTGCACGACTACTACCGCCATACAGAGCTTCATTCTCAAGAACAGGTTCGACTTTTACGAATTCAGGAGAACCTGCAGCTTCACCTGTCAATAAATGGCCACTTTTGGGAAAGAGTTTCTTCAATGTTGCTCGCATGTCTTCAAAGGTCATCTTTGGTGTAGTAGACAGTGCAAGCTGGAAATGTATGTCACTCAGACCACAACTCTTGAGCAGCCTACATGCAATTATATTATTTTGCATCAGGTAGTACAACCTTACATTCTTCAAGTTTGTGATGCCATAGATCAAACTCACTTAGGCATTTGTCTATGGAACACTCTTTAGAATGGCTGTAGTTTTCAAAGGCCAAGTAAGTGTTGAAGAATTTCTAATTTTCATCTTGCTCAAATACACAGTCTAATTTATCCAACAATTTTTTCATACCATCTTCTCCTTTAATTTCATTCACTGAAAGCTCCAATGAAGCATTCTGGGTTCTGCAGGTCAATGACAAATGAATAGCAATGGTGTGTTTACTCTTGTCTTAATCCGTCAAAATAGTCCACAGCTCCACATCCTTTTTCCACTGATCATAATCACCATCTTCTTTAAACACAGGAGGAACTTTAGTTGTAATGGCTCTCGCTGAAGCCATTTTGCACACTCTGCTACCAATTGTTAATAGCACACGCTCACAAGATGCTCATCCTATCATGGTTCATGCTAGACTACTGCTGTCCCCAACAGCATTGCTGCCAACTTGCGTCACGTTACAGCCAGCCCACGCCACGTAGGCTACCAATGTTCCCCGAACCAATCAGAGAGCAGCACAAAGCCATCTCACGACCAAACAAGTGTGACGTCACAACCATTTGGCAACACCAGCAGACCAATCAGATATTAACAGTATCTCTCACTGCTGTAGCTTGAAAATCATAGGAGGAAATCAACTTTTAATATTAATATTTCAAATTTTCAGGAGAGCCCCCCCAAAAAAACTGAAATTTTGTGATCCCTGAAGGTATAGGCTTTATCCACACTTTGATGGCTGTCATGAACAAACAAATGGCTTTGGCAACAAACATGGAAGAAATGTGGCTTTGGGCTCTGTAATTGCACAATTCTCAGACCTTTAAAATGAGCCTAAAAACCATAAAAGTTTAAATTTTCAATTTTTGACCTACATGCTCTCCTTAAAGAAGAGGTGCACAGGGTGATGGTGCTATTGATCAATCAATCCATAGTTTGTGATTGGTCATGGATGCATATTTAAGGTCAAGATAAACAGCTTGAAAAGATGCCACTATCTCAAGCTAAAAGCCATACTTTGCAGCCTGCCTCTCACCCATCTAAACCTAATTCAAGTTCTTACTTGTGAATTTGACTTGAGTTACCAGACAGCCAAACTGGAAAATTATGCAGAAGCCACCTGTGAATGAGACAAAAACTAACCTCATCATGCAATATTTCACTTCATTTTAATGGTCTTTGCTAAATTCTTTGACTAATGAAAAAGACAGCCCCTATTTGCTGGCAGTTTTCAAAAATTGCCTATCAAGTGACTCTTGCTTCCCATGATTCTTAGAAAATCCTGCATAATATTGCTGATTGTTCTGACAGTTCTGAAACTCTTAATGGTATTACCTGTTGGTGGGTTGGCTAATTAGCAAACTGGAAAATCAGCAGAAGTCAACCATTATGAGAAAGTACATCCTTGGCTCATGGACCATTTTACCCATTCCTATGGTCTTTGCTTAATTTCTTAGTAATAATTGCAATGAATGACACTTTTTTCATTGATTTTTAAAAATTGTATTTGAAACTATTGTTTCTACCTGAAATTTTAGGGAAAATTCTATCCAACATTCCCAAATGCGCTGAATAGCCTGCTCATTAAGTAATAATGTCACTTGTTTGCTTTAATCGCAAATTCACTAAAAACTTAAAAGCAAAGAAAACTCCACAAAAAATGTTGCAATCATGACTGTACTAATTACTGATTTATCTGTGTTCTAGAATTTTCGAACTGACGATGGAGCTGGACTCCGAAACGTTTTCTTTAAAGATACTATGAATTTTTGTGGAGTTTTCTTTGCTTTTAAGTTTTTAGCCTGCTCATTATAATGAATTTTTGAATATAGCCAATGGCAATAAATTCATTTATTCCCATTTTCCTGTTACAGACATTGTAACAATATATACCTAAATTCTCACCTTAAACAAGTTTGTACCACCATAGTAGTGCACCTGGTTACACAATTAAGATGGTTTACAGTTCCTTTATTTTCATGAAATTAATTTTTTGTATGACTCTACTAAATATATCCGCAAACAGTGCCTATGCTGCATTCAAAAGAGAAAGTTCATCTGCTTACTCAACTTTGGTTATTTTGACACATTTTATAGAAAACTGTTTCTTGTAACTTAATGATTCAGTTTATATACATGTTTAATAATTGATTAGATCAGAGATAAATTTAACTTTGTTAAATTGATTTGTAAGCTAAGTTATTCACATTGAGACAAGAATAGGTAACCTTTCTATAACTATACATAGGTAGATATTTGATTTATCAATAGTTTCATTGATACAAGTTATTGCTTGGCTTTCAATTTGGCCAACTTTTTTACAGGAATTCTCTTCATTAGTGACATAAAGTACTTCAAAATAAAGCTTAAATCTGCTTAGTAATAATGCCCCAAAAAAGGAAATTAAATTATTCTTTAGCTTTGGAAGCTCCTCTGATAATCAGAAATAGTATTTTGTTACTTGGACGTTGCTTAGCCCTCACAGATGATGATCCCAAAGTCAGAATCACCAGACTCATTTTCAATGACTTCCTCAAAATGGTGAGTTGAGAATTTGAGAATATAATGCAAGAACACTGCTTGATGTGTGGGAATGTATAATGTATGTGGGACAATATATAGGCTTATATACAATACTGCTTAATATGGAGGAAAATTAACATTATATAAATACAAGTAGGAATACTGCAGGGTATATGAAAAATTAACAAGGTGTTAACACCTTTAAGAATACTGCTTAATTTGAAAAAAATACAACATGATGTAAACATAAATGTAAGAATGCTATGTATTTTGGGTTTGATTGAAATGACTATGTATGTGCCCAATCTTGTTGAAACAATGCATCATTTCGGCAGTACTAAGGTTGATGTGTTGTAAGATTCTTTCATATTAGTTGAAATGCAATTTACAATATGACCGAACAAGCAAGCATGAATGCTGAGTGACCCACATCATGTCAAGTCAAAGAATGTCTTCTCTTCATGTTATTTGGTTGCTATCATGATTTTAATTTGAGTGTCAATAATATTTTTCATATATCAAACTAACATTCTCATGCATACAACAGTCATACAATATTTATATAGTTAATTTTACAGCACTTCCGCCACTACGCTGACATAGTTGTTCATGATGAAAAAAAGCTTGCAAGAACTGGTGATGTCGTCCTACTCAGGTGAGTGTTTCTTAGAATTTGACGTCATCTCCACATTTAACATAAGGTTGCGGTGACAAATCTTATAAATAGCAAGCAGTTCGAGCAAAAAAAACTTTCCAGTTACATATAACTGGTAGTGAATCATTTCTCATTTATATATATTTAATTATCATATTGCACTTTGGTTCCCTTTTCTTATTTCTGACACTAATATGGCTAACTCAACCCCAATGTGGCAATTTTGTTTTCTTGTCTGTATAAGATGATTATTGCAGGAAACTGCGCCAGCCGCTGTCCCTTGAGAAGCGCCACGAGATAATCAAAGTGGTGTACCCGCTCGGCGACATCACTGATCCTCTCACGGGCAAGAAATGCGTTCTGGCCAAGTACAGGTGCGCCGTGTCGTCCATAAGTAATGTTCTAAACTTGAATATTGTTTAGGCAGTAGACAAGTAGAGCATCGTGCACAACTGCATTTTATACATAATATATTATACAAATATATTGTATCAGATCAAGAAATGAAAATTGAACTGGCGACTGAAAAGTCTATGTTCTATTGCTCGAACACTTACTAGTGACGTTGATCGAAAGTTATTCGTCCGTGCGTTGCGCTCCATAAAGCATCCAATCAAATCAAATGATGACGAATGCCGTGCGTTGATTCTCTACAAATGTGGCATTTGTAGAGATGGTTTAAACGTTTTTGAAGCTGCGCTTATGTGGGCCTGGTTTATTCATTGCAAAACTTATAAAAGTCGCTTTTGAACCAGTTTGATGCACTGCCAAGTATTAGTGTATTAATTTTTTGACACATAAACTTATATTCACAGGAAACCGTTCCCAAATTCTTAGAGCAATTTTGGCAAGACTGATAACTATGTTGTAACCGTGGAAAATCAATGTCTGTTGATTCTGTGTGTATTTTTATCTGGTGAGTTAAGTTGTGTAAAGAGTACTACCTATTGCTATTTCTTTTACGAGCTATGCGTTTGAAATGAAGCTCGTTATGTTCAAAGTTTGTTCCTTTTAAATGTGTAGAGAGAGATTTGCTACGTTACAAGTTAGCTGGTTGTAGACGTGTCATTAGATATTGTTTGCCATGACAGGAGCGACGTGCAGCTCATCGATGACTTCTACGGCCGCGCCCCGGACGCGCCTGAGGGCTTCGACTACGACAAGGCGCCTGACCGAGGCTGGCAGCAGGGCAAGAAAGACTGGAGTCACAAGGTTGGGGGCTACTACTTACTAACTGCCATATATGAATCTCCATGTATCGATGTTGCCCTACAATAGTTCTTAGAGTTCTGTGATTTGTATTTTTCTTTCAAAGCATCATGCTTTGTTCTATGTAAAGTTTTTCTTTTTCTCGCTTTGGAAAAGCATTAAAATTTTCAGCACATTTAAATCTAAGTGACAACTTCTACCTACAGTGCTAACTACCCAACCCTTCTAAAGGTCTTTACATAGCTTGAAAATTCACGCACGAGTTACAACGTAAAACTATAATTACGGAATATTGATTTTCGATATTATGGTTTTCAATTTATGTAAATCTCTTGCGCCTGTATTTGCAGGAAGGATACAAGAGATGGCACGAGTTCGAACCCAGTCACCCGTTGCACAAAGACCCTGCCGCGTCCTGAGCCCACCAGCTGTGCTTGTAAATTCATCCATGTAAATTAATAAAATAAACTAAACACATTTACTTATGCAGTTTTAACATCACGGTATTTATCTTGCGTGAATTTATTTGTCTACCTCTACCGTCCACTATGACTTGTCTGTTCGTGAACGTGTTCACACTCATGGCCTCAACGAGTTCGCCTGTAAGTCTGTACCACATGTCAGGGATGCGGAATTCCCTCATGATGGAGTTGCATTAGTATTTCCAATTCACGCTTATGGCCCTTAATAGTTGTTCCCTTTGCGTGTTCTAGTAGACAATCAGGAATCTTATACAAACCTTGATTGTACTCAAGACTTATATGAGGCTGCCGCGTTTACGATGCTGCTGCAGTTTCAGAAGCATCTTAATATTTATACTTTTTTTGTAGGACTTCTTTACGGCCAAAATTAGTATTGTTTTACGCCTTTAATACTCCCAACTTAATTTTTCCCGCATCAAGTTTCGGTGAACAGGCAATTTTTCCTGGCCCAGATGCGGTTACCAACACCTTCATATAGTTTATGTAACTAAGTACTCGTAAGAAAGTCCGATCAGTCTCAGCAGTTAATTTACTTCAATAACTTGCGCTTAAATGTGTTGAGAAAGCTTCAGAACCTTTTAACCCTCCTTATGTCTTCATTTACGGCATACGCCCTATGCCATCTGGTCATAGTCTGAAATGTGGGTCATTTGACCCGATGACTACAGGAGGGTAAAACGTTAACTCCTAATAACTCGTTTTATTTAAATAAATTTATATTGTAAGTGCAAAAGTATGCAACCTGAATCTGGAAATGAATAATTTGATTGTGTCAGCTTTGGAGTTGAGGTCAATTGTTGCCTATTGATTACTAAAAACATTGGACATTTTCTCAGGTTACCAATTCACCGTTTCAATCTAGCTGTGCTTTCCCCACTTATTTCAGCGGTTTACACTGTAATGTGATTTATACTTGTAAATTTTCAAACTCAGACCTTTATTTAAAACTAATACGTCATGTCAGTAAGTTTTCTACTGCATTATGAACAAGTGGAGAAGTAGGTGCGGCGAATTAACGTGCTCTGTCGACCGAAATAGGGGAAAATGCTAGAGCTCTCTGCCGTCTCTCGTGAACGGAAGAGATTTTGCACATAATATGTCTGAAAAGCTGTATGAACAGGTAACTGGCAACTGAAGTTAAGGATATAACTTCTTTCCAAGGCTTTGGTTGTAGAGGTAGAAAAAAAAATCGAACCATATCTGACCACGTCATACTTGGCACCAGTTCTAAATTTAAATAAATGTTCAAAATTATAAATAGATTTCCGTGGTAATTTTATTTGTGAAACAATATTTAATCGAACAAATTACTACGCTTTAGAGTGCTTTCTCGAAAACTAGGCTGAACGGAAATTAATTAAAGAATGAACATAAAATAATTGAAATCGCAACAACGGGCAGGGTGGCCCAGTGGTTCCAGCAAGATTGGCGCAGAGAGGCGCGGGATCGATCCCAGCTCTGTGCGTCAGAATCTGCAAGGAGGCCGGGCGGTTAAGCACAGCAGCCGAGACGCGCAGAATTGTAGCAATGAGTTGCGAGTTCGAGACCGCAAAATGCTGTGAATGTTCTGCGATGTTAAGAATCGGCGACAGGCCTACGGCCTAATGAACGCTGGAACCGCTATTATTATTTATTATTAAGCTCGGAGTAACTAAGAGAAAATAACTGAAGTCGAAAGAAGGTCAAGTACGTGTTGACCTTATTTCGTAATTAATTAATCGTCACTTATTTGACATGATTAATTATTAATAAGAAAGAGATACGGCAAAAAGTATTCAATTTCATTTTAATGCTACGTTCATCAAATTGCCTAATAAAATGATACTTTTTCGAAATATATTGGGATTATTCCTTTCGAAACAGTCTAAAAACACTATTAAAGTAAATAATAAGATGACACACAGGTTCCTGGGCCCCTGGCTGTGTAATAAATCCGGTTTAAACGAAAGTAAATGGCTTTGATTGCAAGTTGCAACTATCTAATCCGCCCTTCCGGCTCCCGCAATGTTGTTTTGCTGCTCTTGTTCTTGTGTCTTGTGAGAGAGGTCACTAAAAATGCTTTTGCTCCTGAGTCCTGACAGGCTGACAATTGACGAACTCGGTCTCAGTATTAAGGCTCCTAATGTTATTGACTAGCATGCCCAGTAATTCTTCATACTTTTTTGTCTGAATTTGATTACCTAATTAGTTTTAAAACGATTAGAGTTAACTGTTAAGACAATGAATCTTTCCCACCCACCCGTCGGCGTCACTCGGCGGTCGGCCATCGCCCCGATGCGATGCCTGATAACTTATTCTAGCCTAGTCACTAGTGACTAGTGTCAGCCTGATTTGAGCTTTTGAGCGATGGTGCACAATGCACGGCTGCACGCAGACTAAACACTAAAGCCTAAAGCCTAAAGGCCCTTTACCATGGTAGGCTTTAGTGCACCATCTAGGTAGCTTTTTTTTTGTAGCATAAAGCAAGTTAAGAAATCATACATTTAGGTACTACGTACGGTACTAGCCTAGTAGTAGCAGTAGGCTAGGCTAGGTAGTAGTTACCTCTAAAAAATCCCTGAAAAAAGTGTGAAAAGTGAAATTTTGGGAAATTACATCTGCAGATCTGCTGAGCTGAGGCCTGTAGCAAAAAAATATTTGCCATAATAAAAAATTTTACTTACGTAAAAGTTGCACACAGGTGTTGGTTTAAAAGCGCTATTGATGGAATTTGTGTACATCATTAAAAAAAATGGCTGCTATTAGCCTATTTCTGCAAGATGGGGTAATAAGAAACCTCCCCTGGGCAAGGGGTAATAAGGGAAGGCCAAAGACACCCCTAAAAATGCATTTACAGTACCTAGAGGCTAGAACCTTGATTAGCAAAAGCTCCAGTTAAGGGGACCGTCTAACCTAAATTGGAGATAGCCTATAACTCCTAAAGTTATTATCCGATCATCATGAAACTTCACATTCAAACGTAAAATGTAAAAATAAAAACATTTTACTTATACCGTTGGATGCGTCAAAAAGTAAGCTTTAAGATGAGCCCAAAAAGCGGGAAACGCCAAAATTGAAAATTTAGGGGTAGACGGTCCCCTTAACAAAAAAATTGATTAGCAACAAAATTTTTTAATACATTTACCTTGCTCATCACAAAAAAATCCACTTAATGATCAATTAATGCATCATTGGTCAATGACTAGTGATGAGTGACCATTGGTGACAATCATCATTGGTCAATTATTGACCAAAGATGATTGGTCACCAATTTTGTGATGATAACCAATGGTCATCACACAATTGTGCATAGAATGCCTGGCCATAGAATTGTGTACCAGGGAACATAGAATGAAAGGTAAATAACCTAAAGTCTAAACTATGATTTATTTCTTCTAAAAATATGAAGGTTGTTCCTTTCTATTTCTGGTATGTCATTTTACAAATTTTTTTGTTATAGTGAATTCACTTGAAACAATTGAAATGGTATGAAATTATAGGCTGTCCTGTAAACTTACATATACAGAAGAAATGATGTATGTAAATGGCTGGCTGCATGGCTCAGCCTGGCTGGCTGCTGATATCAAGCTTGCAGTGGACAAGGTCATTGTAAATGCTCAATGGCATGTTCATGGAATCTAGTATGGAATATATCTACTTGGCGAGCCGCGACTGAATTTTTCGAGCCGTGGTTTTATGGATTTGCCAGCCGTGATTCCATTTCTACGAAGTTTGCGAAGTGCAAACCGCGATTTTTTAATCAAACAAAAATTTATGACATTCGAGCCGCGAGATTTCATACCTACTGAAATTATATGATATTAGAGCCGCGATATTTCAGACAAAAATAGGACTTTTCCAGACTAGCATGGAATCATGGATACAGTAATATCACATCAATAATACTGTAATGTATGGATGTTGTATATCAATGGTGACAAATCTGACAATCAATAAAGGAAAAATATATCAATAAAGGAAAAACAAGTAAAAATCACAGAAAATGTCATTTATTCTACATCTACAAGATCATCTATAAAGAAAGAGGAAGACTTCAGTCTTCAGAGTACTCTGTAGTCTGTACTGTTTGTAATGGATGAGATAAGTACACTTTGCATGATTCAAACATTTTAAAATTAGGTTCTATTTCAAGTGTCCCAGATTACCCCATTCTTAGGGGTAATTCAGGATGCTTTTATTTTGCATCTGTCACCTTACAAGTAGCATGTGGAATTTTTTTGGAGATACCATGCAATAGCCCTTGCAAAGAGCTTTAAAATGAGCCTAAATTTGTTTATGAAATGTTTCATGGTAAGAGGTTATTAGCAAAAAATGCTCAAAACCATCTCTTATTACCCCATTTGATGGTATATATTGAAATATATATTATTTAAATCTATTATATATTCACATTATTTGTAATGTGTTATGCACTTATGTAAAAATACTAGAAAATTATAATAGTCAATTTTGCACTCTTTCCCTGCACATCATGTCAATTCTGGGACTATTCTGCTACTATTCTGTTCCTTTTGGATAATTTTGCTATTCTTGTAATTGTAAGGTTGTATTTAATTAGTAGCAGGTTAACTTTGCCAGCATGAAAAGCCAACATGAAGCTAATTGCAAGGTTCATATGTTCACTTAACCCTCTGTGTTCTGACAGGACCTCTCACTCCCAGGTCTTTATATCTAAATAGCATTGTCAATGGCTAATGTATCTGCAGACATAAGGTTGAATTAGCATTTCCTTTAGCCTTTAGGCAACTGCATTCAATTTTATTTCATGTAATTCCTGTAGCTGTCATCTTTTTCAACCTATCTACAGCAAGTCTGCTGCCTTGTTGGGAGGCTAGACCTCCTCTTTAAATGATGTACAGTGAATGGTCGTCAGATATCATGCCCCAGCAGGGGTGGCTGGGTGATGAGGCTGCCATCAGTGCTTTCAAGGTAAGAGAATTTAGCTCCTAACAGTTTTACATGCTTACAACTCAATTCCAATTGACTCATTGATTATGAATTAGTAAATGCTACTTTGTTTGAAATAGTGCTCTAATGCTCTTTAATGGTTTTCTAAAAGTTTTCATAAGTCTTCAGTAATGAAAAGTATGATATTAAGTTATTATTTAATCAAGGCACAACCAATGTAACACATTTTGGTAGTCTAAAATTAGTGTGTAATAAGGTGATTTACATCTTACAGATATATTTAAGATTTTTTTACATTTTCAATTGAAAATACTTTTTACTAACTCTGGTAATTCTGGTAAATTTGTGTCTGGAGGATAAATTAATACATTACTGTATATATATGAATATTTGCCTGTGTTGTTTGAATCTGACGTGAAATTTAAAAAGAACCCTTTGTGAATATTGATTCCCAAAGATGGGTAATGAGATATGGTTGTATGAATGTAATCTGGATGGAAAGATGCTGTCTTACAGATCTATGTTGATTTTAATTAACAAATGTATGAATTGTAACCATTGCAATCCTCTAAAGATCTATGCAACTCTTATATGTACTGTTTTGATGTATACCTGCTAATAATGTTGCAACAACTTACTAAGGGCTTAATTAGCAGCTTTGGATGAGTTATCAGTGTTGAGTTGTACTTGTGGCAAATTTTTTCTTCTGTTATCATAGCAGATATTTTTTCACCAAGCAGACAGTCCTACCATGGAAAGTGAGCCGAGATTTTGTTGCTGGAACTGCCAAGCATCTAGCAGGCGGCTTGAGTGGCCTCAGCAAGCCTGGCTCAGCAGCCACAACAAACCTTCACCCCAGTGCCATCACACATGACAAGCAACTCAACATTATTATGCCGGTCATTCACTTCTCTGTTTAGTTTTGCTGTAATGCCTTGTGTTATATGAGGAAAATATATATATATGACACTATTATTCATATGTCATTAAGGGCCCTGTGAAAATTTTTACTTCACTCTGTTCAAATTCATATGATGATCCAATGAAATTAATTTTGAGCCATGATAAGGTTTTGCTTGTACTAAATGATATTAATTATTTCGAATATTTGTGTCTAACAGAAAATTTTAAAACATTTACTTTTATGATGACTTATGTGAAAGCACTAAAATTCTAACATTAAGTTACATATCAAATTACACTTCATTTTGAGATTGATTTTTTTCTCTTACAAGAAATTGTCTTGCAAATCTTTAATTCCCTGGCTATTAGAATTGGTTATAGGCAAGTTTCCAGACAAATTTATTTCATCTTTTATTTCTATCTTCTGGATTATAGAGACTCTTGGACTAGTCCCTATCCTGCCAATTTTCTTGTTGTTTACTAGTTATCATCTGTAATTTATATTTGAAGCTGATGTAAAAACCATGCTAATATCTACATCATAGAATTTTACCCTAAAATTTCCTCCTAGAATGAAGCTCATTTCGTTTTTTTTTGTACACCATAGGCCTTGGGTTATGGCTTGAGCTTCCCCCTGTCGGAGCTGGATGTTCTGCGTGACTGTGTGTCAGTTTACTGTGACTGGCTCACAGCTTTCCTGCCCAACCCTAAAGCCTGCGTGCCACAGCCTATCATTGATGATCCTAACCACTATGCTGCCATCATCATCAGCCACTTCTACTATGTCTTCGTGCCTAGGGGTGGTGAAGGTGTGTGTCCCTTTCATTCTTGCAGGAATTCTTAAGCATTTGTCATCTGTAAATGTCATGAATGGAAGCTATGAAGAGCAACTTTATAATCCAATCAGTCATTGAAATTTGTTAATCCCCTATCAGAATGAAAAAAAAAAATTGTTAAACACGAGCAGCAATTGACAGTTTAATGCCTGGTCAACTCGGTAAAGTATAATTATTTGTAGCATCAAATATGCTACCTATATGCATCTATCCATGAAAAATTATGTCTTGGCAAATCTAGGGATAACTGCAGATCTTTAAACAGGAATCACACCCAGCAACTTATGTCCTGAATTCCAGAAGCTCTAGATTACGTTTAAATGTTTAATTTCTGGCAATTACGGTACCACTACGAGCAATAAACTTATTTTGTTGTTGAAGTTTGCTTCTAAAATTCGTTTAAAGTTTGTGTGCATAACAGGAGCGGAAGTGAACAAGCAAGCAGTGCTGTGTCATCGCGTGCTGCGCATGCTGCAGACTGTAGCGCAGAGCAGCACGAGCATGTCAGAGGAGACGTGGCACACGCTGCTGCTCTTCCTCCTGCACATCAACTCTGCGCTTCTCGCCCCTCCTTCCACAAAAGGTATGTCATGTTAATCATCTTAATTTCTATGGTCTTGTTTTTGTTTAAGATTCTTGTTGTAAGCAACGGATTTTACTCCTCTATATTCACATCACTCGGTTAGATATTGATCCCGATTCTATTGGTTAGATATTACTTTCCATATTTCATTATTATTTCAATACATTCCTGAAAAATAAACTCGGCTTACATCTGATTATGGTCTCCCTCTGAATGACGTTGAAGTAGGAGGGTAATTGAGTCATAGCATTTATGTTACAATGTCAGTTAATTAGTCTGATGATTCTCGTGTCAGGAAACATGTTTTGCACGAGTTGTACTCATGTCTGCATTTATAACGATATTTTGAGTGGTTTCACTCGACGCGTTTCTCGACGCGAGGCAGTGAACGCTATGGGGCCGTTTTGTACCATAATGGCGCATTGCAAAATCGTTGTTAATGAATTTATATCACTTGTTTGCTTAAATCGCAAATTAACTAAAAATTTAAAAGCAAAGAAAAGTCCACAAAAATTCATATCTTTATAGAAAACGTTTCGGAGACCAGCTCCATCGTCAGTTCGTAGAATCTAGAATCACAAAACAACAAATCGTTGTTGTATGATTTGCAAGAAATTGCTTTTTCTTGTATTATCTTTTTCCAATGCGATGCATTACTCAGAGAAATTGAGACTATAATAAAACGACTCTCTTCACTTTATTCTTTTTTTAGCTGTATTTTCAATGCTACCCCCTCTGCCGCTTATCCCTGTCAAGTGGGATGATTTGTTTGCTGTATATTATTGTGGCAGATACAAGTTATACCCGCGGTCCTGTGCTGTACCTTCATCAATTTGTTGTCACGAGTATCATTCCTTGGAATGAATGTGAATGTTTGCTTTATGGTTATTGGTTACCTACTGTTAGATTTATTAGCGTCGATGTCAGTAATACATGAGTAGTTGCAATGTTGCATGTTCAACTCGGGTTCTTTGCTCTCCTATGCAGTTATTAGAATGATTGTTTCTAGTACATTCGCTGAAGTAATTTCGTCGGAAGAAGTTTTGCACGTGGTTGAGTAGTGATTTTATAGTCGATTGCAATTTTAACAGCACGGGTGTAATTGGTCTTGCATGCATTGAATGCTTGCATACAGCAACATCAAGATTTCCATCCCTTTTGCATCGTTTCCTAGAGGCAGCTCGCAATTAGCAACTTTTTGATTATTTTCTTCGTTTGGTTTCAACCTTACATAACGTACTGAACGTACTTACTTCAGATCTTGCCAGGGCTTGTCATATGAACGATCACTTTAGTTTGCTGGTGAGAACGATCGTCGCGTGTTAGCTTGCTGTAATATACTGGAGGGAATATATATAGTTACGTCATCAGCTACTGAAGAAATAGTTTTATCTCTAGGCTGAAGAAAACGACTTGTTTTGAATTCATATTTTATTGGTCATTTTTAAGATTATTTTCGTGACCGAAGCTTTAATCGTCGAACATATTATGAGCGTCCCGTACATTTGGATTATTGCTATTATGTTACATTACGTTACACTATTAACGTGCTGTGGTGATGGGTCAGTTCTGGGGGACCCATCATACGAGGCCGCGTCACCGCCATCCCCCGCCACGCCACCACTCCTACACCCCACCACCACCACCACCACCACCACCACCACCACCGCTGGTGGGCTCACCCCCCCTGCGGCGGTGGGCTCGTTCTCGCGCGCTAGTTTCTCGCGCAGTTTTGCCTCCCAACAGCCGCGCAAAGCGGCAGTTCCTCCTCCTCCTCCTGCGCCTCCTGCAGATGCTCAGGGTACTGCCACTGCCTCCCTCATGCCATCCCTGACAGCTTAGCTTACTGAGGGATGTCATCCTACTAAATATTTTGCGCTAGCTTTCCATTCCTCAGCATCCTACCCAAGTCCTTAGCCGAAAGGCGTACAGCTTTTTCATTCACGCATTTATGCCTAACTTTAGCCCGCTTCAGTGAACATAATCGGCATCTCAATATCTCTTCTTCCCTCTGAAATTGACCGTAAATTGCAGGGTGATTAAGGCTTGATGTTAGTGGCTGTTACTAGGAGCCCATTTTAACCTACCCGTACCGTATTCACGTATACCGCAGTATTAAAAAACATTAAATTTCATATTGAAATTCGTATGTAATATAATGATTCCAGTCATCTCAACTTACATTGCCGACTCTTTTTTATCTAAATTAGCATAAAAAATGTGCTATAAAGTACAGCCCCTAACATGGACTTCACTACCGTCACAGAACTAAAGCGCCGTTAAAATCCATCACAATTTATAACACTTTGCGCCGCTTTTCAATACTTCGCAAGGTATTGTTAACCCTCGCTTCGAGTCGCCAAACCAGTGTTCCCTATAATAAACCATATTTCGTGATAATATTATTTCATAATGGCCTGGGCAAAAGGAGATTACCCGAAGATTTTTCTTCAAGTCGTTCAGCATTGAATTCACTATCAATCAGAGGGCCAATAATTTAATGGGCGGATCGTATAGATGATCTCACTTGAGGTCATCTTACACGACCGAGTTCAAAAAAGATCATGCAGAGAGTTTTGAATCTTTCAACTACTAGGAGCTTGTGCACCTACACGATTAAACTCATGATACTGTCAGTGCAGGGAAACTCGGTCTGCCTGAATTATTATTTTTTGAACCTCTGAGTGTTGTTAGATTTGATCCCAATCGTTCAATAACCTGCTAGTAATCTCATACTAGATCAAATTAAAATTAACTGATATGTTAATTATCCGTCTGTATATACTAATTTTGTACTATATGCAAGCGTATCCATACAGATCCTCTCATTATTTACGTATATCCTATAGGTACATGTGAGAGCGTATCCTAGCTCCCCTGGACCTCTCATAAGATCGCCTTAATTCTCACGTATTTTCTATTAAAAATTTGATTTTCACGCGGTAAATTTGCTTAGTGATATTTTACCATTGGTATACAAGTTTAATAAAAAATAAGCTGTCTTTATTTTGGCAGGTACTGACGTTAAAAATTGGGCGTGTTAAAATACGTCGATTTTAAAACGCGGTCTCTTCAACTTTCGCTGCTTATTTGCAAGTTAAAGTTTCTATTTCATATGTTCACACGCTTGATGAACTCATTTTCTTCAGGCTCTGCTAAATTTTTTATTTATACCATACTGAAACTTGCGTTTTAATAATTATTGCTTCTACGTTACCTACTAATATTTTCTTTTAGATTGATACGCTCCTGCTCCGCAAAATCCAGTTCTTCGGTCTTGCCAAGACAATTCGTTCCCCAGGAAACTTTCTTCCCCAAGTTCAATGTTTAAAGTTGTCGACTTCTTAGTGGGTCTGCAGGGCTAACTTTAAGTGTTGGCAAAAATGTTCTCTGACTCAACTATTGATTTACGCAAGCCGAGGTATGAACGTATTTCTGATATTGCATGTTCATGGCGAGTTGACCGGCAAAGGTTTATTATCTTTCGTATAATTTCAGTGCTTATTACTAATGCTTTATATTAATGATCTGCTTAATTTCTTCTCATCGCTGGTTGCTTCCTGGATACAGCCCGAGGTACGTCCTACTTCTGTACGTTATTGTGCTCTTGCGTAACGTCTTCACTCAAAATCTGTGTGTGTGTCTGTATAGTGTGCAATGTGTGGAGTATTCTGTGTGGAGTCATTCGAAAGCATGATGTAACGAAATTGTTTAGCAGCTCTCTAAACTATTATGAAAAGTAAGGGTCAATGCGAGGGAGGGACGGATTACTTTTGTTAGCTGCAATATTCGGATGCATGTTAGTCCATCATGTTCCCACTGACTGACTGTTTCTTCTTGATATGTTTTCATGTAGTTTTATATACAAATTTTGCATTCAGTGTAGAGAATATGTTAATTCTTTAAAAGTTGTATCCCTGATTATTTTATATATGAAGCTTCGTACCGCCACTCAAGTTAATTTGTATAGATGTTTGTTATTATTGTTGTATTAAAAGTATTTGTTATAAAAGGCTTCCTGTAAAATTGATTTGAATTTAATTCTATCTTGCATGAAGCGTGACATGGTGTGCAAAACAGAGTTACTTCTTACCAGATGTTTGCTTGTAGTAATAATGCAGCAAGCCACGGCGTGACTATTATTTATTCAATTATTTGTAACAACTGTGGTCCAATGACCTCGTTCGAGTCTACAATCCGAGTCTACAAATATCGAGTCTACAAAAACTTCCCACAACGCTTCTGCAGTAACTTAGAAAAAAAATATAACTCAGTACCCGCTGCAGTGAGTGACAGAGAGCGCATTTTCTCGTCGACGAAAACGTGAAGTCACGGACGGACATACAGACGGACATGGCGAGCACAATAGTGCATTTTTTTCATAAATGAGAAAATGCGCTAAAAGGAGTTCTAATTTTTAAAACGAGTTTACGATGCATGACTTTTGTAATGAGTTTTCTACCGTTATTAAGTCTAACTAAATTTGTGGTGTGTGTGTTTGTTGTATCCTCAATAACTGATATGACCAAGTTGTTTAATATTTTCGTGACCCAAGAATTATGTTTTTCAAATGCGAGCATAGTGTGAAGATATTTTTATTTCCATCCAAAAGAAATGGTGTATTGTACTGTATTTCTGACTGAAGTTCTTGAATATGATCATTAAAACCAATGTATATATAATACCGTACTATCCTTTTTCGCTAAATTATGTAAGATTGTATGCAAATTTTAATGCGAAATAACAAGGAATGCGTAAATTGTTAACTATGATCGTAAATTGGCCATTTTCGTGCATGACTGACATGTATTGTGAGCGATACATGAAGATTTGTTGTTTGGTGTGTGTGCTCCGTTGCTGTCAGTGTTGAGAAGCTTGGAGCAAATCAATTCGGTAGTTCACCACAACTCTTACTTTATACATCCTCCCAAACCTCTTTATCTTCACTATATTTTGAAACACTCCTGTTAACTTTTACGCTTTGATTGTTCGGTGGCATTCGTGCGAGGTTGACGTCAAATGTGGCTGTGGATAAACGAAAAATCAACGGCGTTCGAGCATGGAGAATGAATGAGAAATGTTGGTGTTATTTGTGAGAAATCAATGAAATTGTCTAGAGGAAATGTACGTGAGTCCTGTTCAAATGCGTTAGCTCCCGATGACGAATTCTTTGAAAGAGTAGACACAAACGGTGACGTCATACACTTGGTACACATGGTGTGTCTAATGCATTACACAAGATAACGATCGAACAAACAACCTGACATTCTAGAGTGTACTGAAGGCTAGCATTACATTAGAAAGTCATGTAGATTCTATACATCTATTTATTTCTATGCACTTTCATAACTAGTTATACAACGGGTTCTCGTCGAGCTTGTTCTAGTTCACATAGCTTATATTCCGTATTGTTCCTCGCAACGGAAATAACGAGTTTGTTTTTAACGGTACAGACGACGCTGGAGAGCAGCTATGCGAGCGCGTGCTGAGCGTGCTGTTCGAGACGTGGCTGCTGGCGTGTGATAAATGCTTCCCGCCGCCCCCACTCTGGACTGCGCTCAGGTGCTGTCCATAATATACAATATACAATACCAATGCATGTACTTAGTACTCGCACATTTGTACTTAAGGTTTAGGGCAAATCCTTGCCTTCAAAGTTCGGTGCACATCCTTGTAGCTTTGTGTCTGGGCGCATACTTCTACTCAAGGGTCGAGCAACATCCTGGTACTCGAACTTCAGGGTACAGTAATTAAAGTATTAAAATGTAGATCATACAACTAAGAAAATTTCTTCATCCCGTGGTTTCTTATTTTATATAAATTATGACATACTCGACCTTTTAGAAGGGTCGAGCGCAAATAATATATTTAATTTGGAAACGAATGTGGCTAACAAGTTTTACTAGAACAAGAACAATTGTGGCCTCAACGTTACTAGATGAGGTAGAGGAGCATTTGTGTAAGTGTAGAGGCAGACTATAGGAGGTAGAGGACCATTTGCATGGCTGTAGAGGAAGACTAGAGGAGGTAGAGGTCCATATGTATGGCTGTAGAGGCAGACTAGAGGAGGTAGAGGAGCATATGTATGGCTGTAGAGGCAGACTAGAGGAGGTAGAGGTCCATATGTATGGCTGTAAAGGCAGACTAGAGGAGGTAGAGGCAGCCTAGAGGAACTAGAGGATGTAGAGGCAGTCACATGACATGAGCCGCTAATAACAGGCAGGGGTGCACGGAGTGGAGGCACAGGCGGGGGCTGGTGCAGCAGTGGGGGCGCGTGTGTTCAGCCCTCACTGCCAAGCTCCTGCTCTTCATGTATGGTCCTCACTACACACACAGGCTCGCCGGTCAGTCCACACAAGTGTATTCTCAAACACACATGTCTTACACAAGCGTATTCTCAAACACACATGTCTTATACAGTCGTATTCTCAAATGCGCATGTCTTACACAATCGTATTTTCAAAAGTGTAATACTTTTTCAACTAAATCCCAACCCTGCTCACCCAGTATTCTGTAACATAAAATTATTTTAAGTCAATCATCTTCTCTACCACATACTTCTAATACAATTGCATCAAAAGTCATGACAAATATGTCGAATGACTAATATTGAAACAGAATGGCCTATTTTAATAAAGGCAATCCGAGTATCCCGTTTATACTATACCTCTTGTTATTCAAAATTAAGCTGATACTTTTGTGAGTTACTCTTCTTCTGGATTCGCTCTTTCCCTAATAAGTTATAACAATAGTGAATTATTCTAAACTCCAAATTCTAGTTTGTGTTCTTAATTTCCCCGAAAAAATCGCCTGCAGGCGGTGACGAACTGAACGTCATTCCTGCCACGATGACCAACGACTGCGTCGCGCAGGTCTGGTTCCGCCTGCTGCACGTGCTGGGTGAGTGTCATTGGAACCAGTCTTGCTTTTCACTCTCTATTGACCTACCACATTTTTATTAAACTTCCATGCGAATAGCTTGTGCCTGTACTTCAGTTCTTAGTGCTTGGTATCCTCCATAAATTAAATTTATCTACCAGGGGCCGTACTATCAAAAATTACACGCAGCGCCCGATTTCTCGTCTCCGATTTGTGGGTTTAGCCTTAAAAGCCGTCAGTGCTCGGCTGACGGAGTTACAAACTCTAGATTTTCTTTTCGACCTCGTCTCCTTTGCTTGTGATATGATATTATTGTTGTCTCTTCCAGGCAACCCGGTGGAGCTGAGCAAGCACCAGGTGATCAGCAAGACTCCCGCGTTCCTGAAGTTCGCCATATCTTCTGAGGCGGTGGTGGAGCCCTGCCAGCATCCCTGCCTCAACGCCCTGCCTCAAATATTCCTGGCCGCCATCAAAGTCATCGCCTCGCTCGCTGATGCCTTCATTGGTACCGCCATAACTATCTACATATTTTACCCATTTGAATAATTTCTATCATGGTAAGGTGAAATAATTTATTTATTGAACAGGCAAAACAGTCTCACGAACTCGGAAATGTCCCTTCCATCCAAGGATTTCACGCTAACTCCTCGTTCCTTTGTTGGCATACTCTGTAGGTGTCATTTTTGATGTATAGATTGAAAAGCGTTCTTTGTAAATTATATATCAGAGCTGAGGCAGGCGTATATTATACTGACGTGCACATAAAGCATATAGCTTCTGATTTATTGGTTGGGTGCCACGGATATGTCTCTTCAAGGGCAAGCTACTTCCTTTAAACGAAACCGAGTTCCTACATTTCACAACGGTTACTTACTGCATGGAAAATAGAACGAGTCCGTGGTTAAGACATTGGTGTGAGTCGCTTACTTTTAATGAACTGCCAGAAAGATTAACCCAAGCTTATGCTGCGAAGGAGTACTATTTCGAAGGATATATTTTTCTCCAGGCGGCTTCTGATGCGGTTGTTGAGCTGTAAATGAAATGTTATTTATATTTAGGTTTTGATACGTTTCATAAGCTGTAATGTGAAGGCTGATATCAACAGTGAGGGCTGATGTATAAAGCCTGAGCTTTATTCCGGAGCTGAATTGATAATGTGCTGCAGGCATTAGCATCGTATCAGATGAGAAGAGGACGGCTGGGGTGTCGTTGCAAGTGTAATATTATAGCATTTGTAAAGCAGTGCTGCATTAATGTGTGCAGTAATCATAATTATCATATCAGGTGGAGAAGAGGACGGCAGCCGAGGCGCGGTAGCAGGCAAGGCTAAGGTTAACAGCGTCCTGCACCTGTTCGGTCCGTGGCTCTTCGAGGCCGCGCTCATCGGCACGGATCTGTCGCCCTCCCCTGCACCGCACACCAGTGAGCTCTTATGGCGGGGCTCTTGGGGCACGCTTTGCTGCCACAATCCAATAATATTAATATAATCAATTATAATAATTATAATTTTATTACTTACATATTATTATAGGGGCAGGAATTTATAAGTTATTATCGTCTGTACTCAGAGTCTGAGACAGCGAGTAGCGTGAGTGGCGTGCTGAGTGCAGGCGGCCCTACGAGCACTGCAGGGGCGGGAGGCAGGCGCCCTACGTCCGTCTACAGCCTGGGGGGCGACCACCGCAAGAGCGTCGTCGAGACCTCCACCTTCCATACAGCGGCGCCTGGCGAGCGACTGGCCGTGCTCACGCCTGCTGACTTCGAGGCGGGCCGAGCTGAAGCTCTCGCCGCCCTTTGTCGGTGAGTCATGTCACCCTGCTCACCCTGCTCACCCTGCTCACCTTGCTCACCCCTTCTCACCCTGCTCACCCATCTTGCCCACCCTGCGCAATCCCCAACACAATCAAAGTTGAAAATTTAGCAGTTAAGATCACTCAAACTTTCAAATTATCAGACCCGTTGAACCGTTGCAGCTCCGTTGAGTAAACGACTGTCGGAAACGACCGTACCTCACGTGCACGTTTGCGGCCGTACCGCAGCCGTAGCCCCGCGTCCCCGTGGTCGGCTTTCAGTCGCTCTGTCTTCATAGTCGTAATCTCCGCGATTAGATCGATGTCTCACGGCCGGTCTGACCGTAGAATTTATAACGACCGCGTTTCTGCATAGTGACTTTGTCTTCATCGTCGATGTTACTCCATGCCACACTTCTGCTGCTGTTGGTGGTCGTGACCGTATCGCTACTGACCATGACCGTAACGATGAAAATTATTATTGATGGCTGCAGACCGTACTGGCGTGACGGTCACCACAGCAGAACAACCTTTTGGCGCGAATTTTAGGGTCCTTATATAGGCAGACGTCGCGCACACATAAGCCTGCCAAGGGACGCCGCGACAGTTTCGAGTTCCACAAAAGTCAACCCTTTCGATACCCTCGGCCATTCCGAACTATAAACAAACTTGCCCTCACGGTTTCCTACCCCAACTTTGTGGTCAAGTCACATCCTGCATATAATTGTTCAGCATCACTCGGCCTTTCTTCACAACTTAACATAAGCTATATTTAATATTAAAATATAAACAGAAGTCACAATTACCTGTTTTTTTATTCACTCGCCCGCCCTCTCGCCAGCATCGTGAGCAGCGTGACGACCGGCGAGGAGGTGCTGCCCGTGTACTTGTCGCGCTTCTTCATCGCGGTGCGCGAAGGCCTGCGCTCCCCGCTGCCCCCGCCCCACAAACGTCCCCCCACTGCTAATAAGGTGCGTTCATCTTCCTCGGCTCATTTACCTATTAAAATTTCTTAAGACACACCTTAACCCTACAACTCACTGAACTACCGTACCCATATCTATGGCAGTGCCGTATAAGTGTAGGCACGTGTCTTGCAGGCCGTGCCCTGCAGTGGCAGCGCCGTATAAGTGTAGGCACGTGTCTTGCAGGCCGTGCCCTGCAGTGGCAGCGCCGTATAAGTGTAGGCACGTGTCTTGCAGGCCGTGCCCTGCAGTGAGAGCGCCGCTGCAATATTACTGCACGGCTGCGACTTGTTCCGCGTGGACCTGGAGGGAGCCATCACGCTCGTGCCCGCCCTCCTGCCTGTGCTCACCGCCGTCCTTGTCGACCGCACTGCGCGCCCTGACAAGAAACATTCCGAGGCCGTAAGTTACTTTTGCGGCTACACCGATGACCTCTGCGTTAATAATGAAATTTTCAGTTTAGGTCTTGTCAAATGAAAGATATTGTCATTGGATCATTAAGTGCTCAAATATGTGCACTGAAATATCTTGAATGGCTGCCCTTTGATTATTATCCGTCCTTAGTGCAGATATCTTAATTTAATTGCTACGTGCTTTGCTGTACAGGGATCGAGCACTACAAGTTCCAGCATCTCATCAGAGGCTGGCAACGATCAGTACTTGGCGCTCAGACGCGCCGCTACTAATATGCTCCTGTCAATCCTGCCTTTACCTTTACATTTCCAGGTTAGTCAAGCGTATCTGATGACTGAGGCTTCATAGTTGTTCTTAGTCTTAGTCAACTTTACGGTGGAACACATCACCGATACCTTCTTCCCAATGTTTTTCGGCTTGTTGGCTAAGCCCAGACAACTAAGCTCTAACGGTAAACTTTCATGCAGTATTTTCCGCTACAGTGCTGGCATTTCAACGAGCTTGAATTGGACGAATATAGTAAAATTTATCAAAACGATGAAGGGCATCACAATATATTCCGAAAATATTCACCAATTGCTGGACACTAGTTTACAAGACTTACAAATAATTTGTACATTTCCAAAGCTTGAAAGCACCTAAGCCGAATTTTGAGTACTGCTTTTTAAGCTTCTGTTCATAAATATTTCTTTCATGAACTTAAGCTTCCTTGACTTGATAGTACTTGATTTACCTTCTTAGTTGCGTTCCTCGGCCTTTGCGAGTAAACCGAAGTGCCGTCACTGATGTCGAGTGTAGACGACGAGAAGTGTCAGTTTTGTCACTAAACCAATGCCCGTTACAAAATTCTCTTCGTTGCCATTCGCTTCATTGTAATTTTTCTCATCTTTACAATAGCTTGGATGTATCAGTGTGTATGGCTGAGGTTATTAGTTACAGGAGTTACTTATTAAGTCACTGCCATCCAAACGATCATCTTCGTTGCCATTCACTTCCCCTTTAGTTATTACATCTTTACGACAGCTTACATCAGCATGCATATGCAAATTAATGGTTGCAGCAGTTATTTATTAAGTCACTGCCATTATAAAGGTTATACATATATTTATTGTCATCTCTGCGACAGCTCTTGTTTATAAGTGCAGTTGATGGTTGCAGGAGTTGACCATCAAGGAGGTGGGTGTGGCAGGCGAGCGCCACAAGCTGTCACAGTTCCGGCCTCAGCTCCTGAACCTGCTGTCCACGGCCCTGCAGAGCGAGACCCAGCCCAGCACCATCCACACGCTGCTCGGTCTGACCCCCGGCCGTATCACTGCATTTTTCACAATTACCACATGATATATATCAATATCAACAATTACGTCTGAATTATCAGAGTTGTATAGCCCAATAACATCCACACGCTGCTCGGTCTGACCCCCGGCCGTATCACTGTGCATTTTTCACAATTACCACATGATATATATCAATATCAACCATTACGTCTGAATTTATCAGAGTTGTATGGCTCATCAACATCCACACGCTGCTCGGGAAGGCCTCTGTTCTCGCCATGCCACGCTTAATTCAACCTATAGCTCTGAATTTACTTTAGTTTGTCCTTGTTAGAATAGGTTGAGCTATTATCTCATCAGTATTTTCGTATAAAGCAGCCAGACTGTTGGACAACTTGAACTGTAGAGTTTCTTTTTCGATGTATTACCAATACTACGTGCGTGATTCTTGACATATTAATATTAATTGCCGCTTATGCTATATTTTGTGGGTTTCTTCTAAAGTTTTGGCTGCTTGCACTGGGCAGGTGGGCTGATGTTTTGCGTGCAGGACGCAAGTCTGTGGGAAGCTATGGACTCTGTGTCTCAACACAACTACTCGCTCTCTGAGGGCAGAGACACGCACACGCCACTCGGTCAGTCCCTCTTTTCGTGCACTTAATGTAGTTACAGATTGTAGCTTCTTTCACTTCTGCACGAAGGTTTTCAGTGAAGGTTTTGGACGTTTTCATTAAATTTTAGATTGTTTATTATGGAAATAGTTCGGGTATATCATAGACCTGCAATGTAAGTTGGTTGTGGCATTTATGTCTCATGTTCGTGTATGTGTGGGCAATTGGTGTCCTCACTCACCCTCTATTGTTCTATGGAGGCTACTTCGTCGCGGGGAACGTAATCTCTCGTCTGCAGCGTGTGCTTATTGTAAGCACTAGTACAACTTCTTCCAATTGTTCGGGACTCTTCTGGTGTCAACTCACGACGGGCCGAAGGCTTTGTTGTGGACTCTTGTTCGCTTGATATAATCCAGGCCACTGGCTACTTGGTGCCTTCTTTTGAACTATGCTCACTGAATTTGCAGAACTTCGCTCAAATTGACATTAAAAAATGTCGAATGAGAATATGAGATCTATCTTTCTGTTGGTTTGCATCATAACTAAGACATTTCTGTAGTTTTAACGTATCAATTTTCAACGTTACTTTTTAACTAGTAATTTTCATTTAGACCGAATTAGATTAACCCAAATAGCCTCCCTCGTCCTAAAACTTGCCCTGTCTGCCTCTGTATCTCCCCCTGTAAAAATTTGCGTTTGAAAAAATGTGTGTTCATTCAACCTGCTGCGCTGACTTTATTATCTATTCAAACTTCATCACGTGATTTTATTCCACTTCACAATCTCAGTAGCGATTGATAATTAACCATACAATGCTTTACAATCGCGGTGGCGAACGTCAGAAGCTTGACTATGTTGTGTACGAACGAAAAATATTTCTCGTATCTAACTTTATGAATTCTTGATTACCTGGGACGGCCATACACTCGCAGCCAGTCCGGCGTAATATTGCTTAGTTATTATGATGTTACAGTTATAAACACTAGTATATATTGATGAGATTAATTTAGCTACTTAACATATTTCGACAATTGCTAGTCCGTGCATGGATATGGAACGTCATAGCTGGACTTCACTCGTTCAATATCTGAAAATCGTCTCTAATTTCGGTTAATGTTGATGGGTTAAGAAATATTGTTCAGGTGCCGCAGCATGCCAAGTAGTGAAGTTTCTTCTACTTAATTACCTTATATTTGGCTCATTTATAAAGCATCTTGTATCGGCAGCCACAGGTGTGAATATCGGGTGCTTTGCACGAGTATTACGAATCATTAGAGCAACTCCGAGAGAAAATTATCAGCTCATGATCGCTGGGCTTCGAAATTGATAGGAATTTTGAGTCCACTATATGATTTTTAAATCCTCTATTTGTTTTTTTAAATCCACTACTTGTTTTTTTAAATCATTTTTGTTTCTTAAATCCTCGTAGTTTTTTAAAACAATCTTTGTTTTTTTAATCCTATTTTTTTAATCCTATACTTATTTTTTCTTCTTTTTAAAAGTTACTGACGAACTTTTTATTTTACTTTGACTGAAGAAATGATGGTGCAAAGTTGTTGTATAAGAGCGCCTCGTGAGCCAGACCGCATGACTATCGCCTGATATGAACGGCTCGCACCTTTGATCGTCTCCACTCATTATTTAATTATTTAACACACGCAATACTGGTGCTGGGCTCTGCGTTTGCATGCATGCAGTAGCTTTAGATGTTGATAACTTTTTCCTTATGCATGAGTTTACATATTCTCTCGAAGCTTACAATTACAGTGCACTCCGATACAGTAACTCTTCGCTGTTTTTAATTCTCTTTCTTTGCAAAGTGATTACAATCGTATAAGTTTGCAAATTTCAGTGATATTGTTGTAAACTCGAAGTAATAAAACTAGCTACGTTCTGAAGATTTCATTTAACGAGGTTAACTAACTCTGTGTTGTGTGGCATTGAAGAAAGCTATGTCGATAACAGTTTTCACTTTTCAGTAAATGGACTTTTTAAATCCTCAAATTTCCTTTCTCTGTCTAAAAACTATTCCCAAAGCCAGTCAGAAATTTGTTAAGTGAATAATGAATCTATGTTATTGTGCATGGACTGGACTGATATCACTGTAATCTTCGTGCAATCTTAGCGCTATCGCTCGCTCCCATGAGCAGATTTTGTTCCTGTTTCCTTCACTGCTCTTGGCAGTTAGACTTATAGTATTTCTTCTGAGAGAATTAATTAAGTAATCTTCCATCTGAGTCTAGATATTTTTTCATTCATATCTTATTTTAGGCTATTAACTGATGCATACGGTACAGTTAAAAAATATTAAAACGTAAAAATTATTAAAATGAAACGTAACGTTTGTTGTTATCTTCGTCCGCGACTTCTGTTTTATAGCACACGGGGAAACATGCTGCCCAATTTGTGGGCTCGTGGCGAGTGATGCCGATGTCTTGCATGAACTTTCATTGAGTTTTTGAATGTTATTTGTTTTGTTATGAAACCTGCACCTATATTAAGTCATTCAATTATTTCATTTATATCATAACTTTGAATTTATTCATAATTAGTCCTGTTTATTGCTTGCTTCCGCGAACGTCAGTAAGTCAAGATATTCTTACATTCTTATTTTATGTTATATATTGATGCATACGTGTAAAAATTATTTTACATTGCATTTTATGTGTGATATTTTATATTTTCCATCTCATTTTGCCATTAATAAATTGTTTATCATAAAAATCCAAAACTAATCTAATAATTTTCGTCCAATTTTTTAATGCCTGTTCAATATTGAAGTTTATTTGCGATGTTAAATTAGTTGCCTGCTAGTCTTTGTACCTGTGAACGCTTCTCATTTGTTGTCCCTTCTTACTTACGGCGACCTGCGGCGTCTGTGGTACGTATCATCTGCCTGATGTGGTCCCAACTTGCCTGATGTGCTCCCCAACTTGCCTGATGTGCTCCCCAACTTGCCTGATGTGCTCCCCAACTTGCTTGATGTGCTCCCCAACTTGCCTGCATGCCTGAAAGGCTTTACTTCTCCAACAAACTCCTTCCTCTTCATTATCTCACGTCCAAGTTATCCATTAAATCCTTTGAATTCCTATTATTTGATGCCATAACGGATGAAAGTTTGTTCCTTTTTTAGCATTTCGTTGATGGTCCATTGAATACGGGTCTATTTTTTGACGATCCATTTGTATACGGTTCTTTTTTGATGGTCGATAGAATACGGGTCAAAAATTTTTGTTTGGTGTTCTTACGTCGTCTGCATTTGAGTAACATTGATCCTGACTATCCTGAAGCCTTAAACTCTCTCTTCAATACATGTTATATTTCTGAATATTATTCAGTACGTGGTATTTCATTCCGGTCTTCGAAGTGTGACAGTGTTATCGATAAGTCACGGTATCGATCCTCTTTCCGAGCGTTCTGTTGAGGTTGAACATCGCGTTCGTTGAGTACGGATGTGGCTTCGATGCGAGTTTAAGTTGACGTGCATGATTGTTGCTAGAAGCGTTTGGTTGTTTTGACGCGTGTAGGGGGTGAATCAGTGTCGTCGCTGTGTGGGGTGACAGTTGGGGAGCTAAGCATCCCCACTGAGGATGCGTCAGGACGCTCAGAAAGTTCCTCCCTACCACCTTCTGGTCCGCCCTCCTCGACTCTTCTGCCTCCCGTCAGTCAGTTGGTCGTCAGCCCCAGCGGTGAGTTGTACAACACGTCGCCACTTACTGCCAGCTACTGTATTATGCACTATGGCTTTCACTACAGTAGTGGGTAAACTCGTATTTCCTTCAAATAGCATATATGTCTTTTTGATACAGCAGCTTAATATTATTTTTCTTTTTATTCCTACATAATATCGCTTTTTACCAATGTGACCATGCATGTTGAATTCCAATCTCGATATCTTTCCGAGTAAAAGGTGAAAAATCCCAATTATATGTTTAACGAAACCCTTACATGTAAAATATTTTTCCATGCCTCTGGAGAACTGTTCGACGCACCGACCATTGACGGACTTTAATTATTCGGCACTCTGTAAGAGGGTAGTTTTAGCTTCAACAATAATAAAAGAAAAAGTTATCTTATTGATTAAATTTATCGGTCCGGAAATATCATGTCCTATAGATAAAAATGAGGAATTTAGTCACTTAATTTGTGTAAAGTACAGTCTCCGCAAAGCTCCATTCTAAAAGTTACGAAAGTCTTTGTGTCGTTACCAGACTGCGGGTCTACAAAAGTCTTTATGTCGTTACCAGACTGCGGGTCTACGCTGGTGCTGCGGTCCATATATCTGGTGTGCCACAACCTGATCCTTTCCTGGCGCACCGACGTCAACGTGTCACTAGCGGGGCTAGAGCTCCTCGCGGGGCTGGCGAGGCTTCACCCCCCGCATCAGGGTATGAACCTTATTTGATTAATGCTTGATTATTTCAACTAAATTTGATACCCTATTGAGTCTTTGACTACATTTAACTTATTCGAATTCATTGCATTGTAGCTTTGTCATTATGTTCGACTCGCGACCTTATCTGCGATTTCGAAATTACCGACCAAGCGAATAGCGATGGATCTGAGGAGTTCGTGTGGGCGTTGGATGAAATAATTTTAAATGTGTCTCGCAGTTCTGTGTAGATCATAGTCAAGTTCTCAATGACGCTCGATGAAAACTTCTTGTCTAACGACAACTTGGACAACGACTAACTATAAAATCATTTAAACTGCGAGTATTTGACTTATTCATAAGAAACGTATGCAAATTTGACTTTAACAAATAAGAAAATGAGAGAACGAATCGATGGGATGCCATTAACAAATTTATGACAGCGTTTACAACTATTCGCATTTGGGCACTTGAAAAATATGAGCATCACGGTCACTCTGTTGTTGCTATGCCAGACTGGCTGGAGAGCAAGCGGGCGGTCAAGTGGCTGTGCGACTACATCGTCTATCAGTGCAGCCGGCCTCCTCCCGCACACTCTAAGGCAAGTTTACTATAAGTTAGAGATATTTAGCATTAATTTATATCCATTTAACCTGTGTTTCTTGCCATACGAGGTCGTAGACTTTCATTTTATATCATTGTCTAGTACTTTATTTGATTCCCCTCTGTTGGTTATATTTCTTAACGTTGGCACATTTCTTGTGACGCTGTACACTTTGTAGGAAGTCATTACGAAATACTTGAAACTTATCGTACTTGCTAGTTGACTAGTATCGTGGTTGCAACGTATCGTAGTTGCTGGTTCTGGCAAAGTAAAGAAGGCTTTGACGGTCGACCCGGGGAGTCACGCCAGAGGGTGATTTAAGGCCAGTCTTTGACCCGCCCTTTACAACACTCACTGCCCGCTCTGCCACTCGCAGGACCTGCACTCGACGATCGTAGCGGCGTTCCAGACGTGCAGCGTGTGGCTGCTGTCGCACCCGTCGCTGCTGCTGGACCAGGACTGCCTGGCGACGCTCCTCGAGGTTATCGAACTGGGCATCTCGGGCGCTAAGTCACAGGTCAGAATAAATTCTTATTAAAATAAAATATCCCGAAATAACTTACACCTTAGTTGGTGAAATTATTGAATCGCAAACCCATACTTCGGAAACAAGAAGGCAATTCAACTAGGGTCAATGTGATTCAATCATACGTCCCTTTATGGAAGTTTAACGTGAATGTTCTGTCTGCAGAACAAAGGCCAGGTGATTCTCAAGCACGAGAAAACCCTGAAGCCTGCCAGCCTGAGAGTGCGCGACGCTGCGGAGGCCTTGCTATCTTGTGTCCTCTCCCAGGTACCTTATGGGATAACGAAATATATTCTAATGTTTCTGTCTCATATACCAAGGTGCTATCTTATGTTTCTTTATCCTGTTTCTATTTACTTGAAAACGATGATGTTCAGTTATTTTGTGACTGCGCACAATTTTAGACATTATTGTTCGCACTAAATCGTTAATGCGAAATCTTGTATATAATCGAGTATAAATCATTATTGGTTATTACTTTGACCTCTCCCCGCATTGTGGATATGTAATTTCTGTTACATTCTTCTATGTTTCTGTTACATTCTTAATTTCTTTTTAATTAATTTCTGTTACATTCTTCGTTACAAGCTTCTATGTGGTGCAGGTGGGGCGACTGCCGGCGTCGTGCGGCGTAGAGTTGGTGTCGTCACAGCTGGACGAGTGCACGCTACTGCAACACTGCAACGTCTCCACTCTACACGACCCTGTCACTCTACTCACTGCCACGCAGCACTTCAGGTGTGGCAAGTGGCATGTAGCCTGTCACTCTACTCACTGCCACGCAGCACTTCAGGTGTGGCAAGTGGCATGTACCCTGTCACTCTACTCACTGCCACGCAGCACTTCAGGGGTGGCAAGTGGCATGTAGCCTGTCACTCTACTCACTGCCACGCAGCACTTCAGGTGTGCCAAGTGGCATGTAAAGATGCAGTCAGTCTTGCTATTTTCATCATCAGGAATGAGTAAGGATTACCTCCCAGCAGTAACTGTTCTAATCGATCTTGTGTTCTACAACAATTCTACTTCGAATGCCCCATGACTATTTAGTGCCCCATAAAATATAATGTAATTTGCATACATTCGCCTTTAAAGGTTACATACGCCTTGCATAATGTTTGTTGTGCGATAACGTTTTATTGTTTAAAAAGGTGTGTGGAATTTTATCACCTTATAATAGCTTGTTGCTGAATTGTGAAAAAAACTCAATAATTCAGTAATCCGTGTGAAAAATGTTTAATTGTAGTTAATTTTTACAGATATTACGTGTCCCAGAACAGCACCCTGCTTGCCCTGCTGGAACAGCCTTTGGGCAACCATCAAGGTAGCTCACTGTTATATCTACTGATTGATTATTTTGCTTTATCAGAAGTAGCTCAGCGAGATAGAAGTTCAAAGTGAAAGCTTAAATTCTACTTCATGACAGAAGGACATTGTGACTGGTATTTTTTGCTCTACATCTCAGTGAACAGCATTAAGACAAGTTTTACTCATGTCAATATGTTAGTTGTGCTATTACCGAGTTATGAACAGGCACACTTTTCCTTACGCTGTTCCGATATATTTTGTTTTCTTTACCGGAATTAGCAGTTGCTTCAATTTTCTCACAAGCTAGACTTTACCTATTTCTGGTTCATAATTGTTTTGATCCTTTTGTGGTTATTTTTCTGCCGTTGATTCTAGATAATTAGTGCCATTGCCTGCTTGCAGATCCCTTACTATATTATTATACATTGCCTGCTTAATGTAGACCCATTAATGTATTAGCAGGTTATATTGCTGCTGTTTGTCCCAGACACTCACTGTTACTTCTTGCTTGCAGACCCCTTAATGTTGGTTATTTTGCTGCTGTTTGTCGCAGACACTCACTTACTTCTTGCTTGCAGACCCCTTAATGTTGCTTATTTTGCTGCTGTTTGTCCCAGACACTCACTGTTATTTCTTGCTCGCAGACCCGCAGCCGAGCGTGACCGCAATAATACGAGGCCCGTTTGGTCGTAGCGTGTGGAGCCTGCAGCTGCGACATCTGCCTCGCCATCGCTCAGCGCTGTCCCACCACACCAACAACCCTGGCCGCCCGCTGCCTCTTAATGAGTGCGGCGTCCGGCACAACGTCAGGCCGCAGTTCTTCCCGGACTCCGTAGACAGGATACCGCAGTGCAAGGCGTCAGTCAACTGCTTGTGTCTTATCATTGACCAGATACTTCGATAACTTGATCTATCTCTTGTTTATCTTGCAGCGCTCTTCATACACTTCAATAATTTGTTCTCTCTTTTTTTATCTTTGTGATTGCACAACGCAAGAGCATGATTTTTATGCACGATTTACGGAGATAGTTTAAAATAAAAGTAATTAATTATTATTTTGCACGGGTCCGTTCCTTATAATGTATTATAATTAAATTTGAATTAAACGCATATAATTCTCGTGTATTGCCGCTATGAGTGCGCTATATACTGTATTGCGACCAAGTCAAGCCTGTAGAAATAGTTTGTGTCCCTTGACGGTAATGGTAAATTTTTTTCAGCCATTGCTCAGTCTGTTGCTGTTATTTTACATCGTTAATAGATGTAGAATTTTTTTGTTCAATTAAATGTCACCCTTTGAAGACGGATACAATTTTTTCAACCCTAATTTCAACTGTCCGTTTAAAGTACTTCAGATATTGAATCTTAAGTTTAAAATTTTGGTTCATTTAGAGCAGAAAGAAGTGTTTATGGTAAAACGCAGGTTTGTCGTGTATTTCACATATCTACCCATGTTAATTTCTAAATATATATTTATTTACCTTGCTTTACTCTTTCTAGAGACAAGTCCATCCCTTCGCTCGAGAGCGTCATCCACGCAACCGAAAAATCATCAGATGACCACGACAAACTTCTACAAATTCTCGAACATCAAATAGCATTTGAAGAACAACTCGAAAAGAAGGTGAAGTGTACAATTTGTACAGTCCATTCATGGCGAGCCTTCTTCCTTTTTATAGCAATTGTTCCTCTACGATAATATTTTAAGTATTTTATTGATGAATATCGTGCGCCTTAACAACAAATGGTTTCGAGTTAATCAACGTTTCGTCAAGAAGACACGGGCCGTCAACATGTATCTCTGTACTATTGCCATTGCTTGAAAAAAATTTTTCAATATAGTATCGCTCGTGAATATAGACGAAGAAGTGTATTGAATAATGTAGTTGTGTTGCAGGCAGCCGCGAGGGAGAGCGAGGGTGAGGAAGAATGCAGCGCTCCGCCTGTGTGTCAGGAGTTCCAGACGGCGCGTCTGCTGCTCACGCACCTCGGCCTGCTCTCTGTTGATAGTCTTCAAGTAAATACGGATCATGAACGTTTAGCTGCATTGTTATACGGGAGGAGCTTCATCTTCCTGTTGTGAGCGGCCAATGATTGGCTCATTAAGCTAAAATATACGCGATTTTTTCTGTCTTTGTGCCAGACCTGGTCTATTGCTTGTATTGTGCAGTGTGTTGGTGAAGGCACCGTGCCAGACCTGGTCGAGCTGGACTCTACCCAGACGGGCTTCGTGAAGGACCTGGAGGCGCTGGACGCCACTAACAACCGAAGTGTAGATACCGTGCACGTCTTCTACGTCGCCGCCGGCCAGACGTCGCCACACCAAATACTCGGCAACGTCGTGAGCTTTCGTACTTTTTTAGGTTCAATCTTTCTTGTGGTCAGAGATCTGAGAGTCTGAAGTGAGTCTGGCTATATTAATTATTTATTCATTCAATGACGTCATTAGTTGATCGTATCTTCTGGACACTCGTTTGTAACAAAAATGTATTAACACATAATACTCGCGCGTTGGCTGTGAAGATAGTGTAAACACACTATACTATCCCCGAATGAAGTGTGATGATGATGGTGTAAATACGCTATGATTGAGCTCCAATTTCGACCGGTGAATCTGAGAAGAATTAAAATATAAGTTTCTAGTCTTAGAATGCTGTCACGTGATTTTAAGTTACAATCGAAGTATCCATGTCCATTTTTTTTTAAATGTACAATAATTATTTGTTATGGGCCAGCCAGTCTAGTCTCGCTGGTCGCCGCTCCTCTGCAAGAGGGTTGATAGGTCACGAGTCTGTGTCGAGTTTTCACTCAGGAAAAAATAATTAGTCATATTGTCTAAATGTAGACACACATTCTGCACGTAGCTCTGATACACACTTTTACTGGGCCTAACTGGGTCAGAATGACCCGCATAAGGACGAAAAGCAGCGATATTTAGACAGCGTCTCATTCATTTATCTGGGTCTTAACTACATTTAAGAAACAGAATATTGAATTGAGAAAATATTCAGTATAGACCCACCATAAAATGTAGTCCATAGTTTTAGTAACTTCCATTGTAAAACACTTTATCTGCAATATTGTCCGTAGCATCCTGAAGCTGTTACTAGTAGCTACACAAAAAAACTTCCTTTTTTGTGAACATTCAGTGAGCAATAGAAATTGAAATCCTGAATGGGTGATAACTTGAAATTTTAGTCTTGATTTATTATCTTGATTTATTTATTTATCATGATTTATTAAGTCTTGATTTATTATTTTTTCAAATCATTTCCATCTAAATTCTGCATAGTAGGAAGAAAAAAGTAAGAAGGCAATTATTTGTTAACTAAAGATACACTGAATCTATTCATGCTGGTTGAGCAGGTATCGGCGAGCAGCGTCAGTAGCCACTTCCTAGAGCTGCTAGGAGGGCTTGGCTGGCCGGTGTCTGTAGCGTCCCATGCAGGCTGGTCAGGGCGCTCCAAGGCGGTCCAGCATCTCTACTCCCAGCAGCACTCATGTGAGTTCCTAGCGTTATTTTGTGAGGCTTTTCCAAGCGTTATTATGTGAGGCTCTTCCAAGCGTTATAATGTGAGGCTCTTCCTAGCGTAATTATGCGAGGCTCTTCCTAGCGTTATTATGCGAGGCTCTTCCTAGCGTTATTATGTGAGGCACTTCCTAGCGTTATTATGCGAGGCTCTTCCTAGCGTTATCATGCGAGGCTCTTCCTAGCGTTATAATGTGAGGCTCTTCCTAGCGTAATTATGCGAGGCTCTTCCTAGCGTAATTATGTGAGGCTCTTCCTAGCGTTATTATGTGAGGCTCTTCCTAGCGATCACCGCGCCCGTGTCAGGTGAGAGGCCCTCATGGCAGTGCTGGTGCCTGCGCCTCACATCACCGCGCCCGTGTCAGGTGAGAGGCCCTCATGGCAGTGCTGGTGCCTGCGCCTCACATCACCGCGCCCGTGTCAGGTGAGAGGCCCGACTTCAAAAATCAAATATCCCTAGCAATTTGAAAATTTGTTAGTACTCGACCTTTTCGCTAATCATACATTATTTCATTATTTTCTCAAACACTGCATCATTACTTCAAACGCTACGGCTTCAAGTCATGATTACTGATATTTTTATTTAGGTGATTATCTTTGATTCTTTGTTGCGTATAATGTTTTAATGATAATTTTTTCGATATTATAACGTAATAATGATAATATATTTGACAGCAAGCGACGGCGTGTCGCTGGAGGGCGACAGCGCGAGTGCAGGCAGTGACAGCCTCGGCGCCGCGGCCGGGGACGGTGACGCTACGTCGTCCTTCTCGTCGCACACGTCACAGGTCACTCATACATGCTGCTCTCCCACCTTACTATCATCAGTTGAATTAAGTTTTTAGTAATCGCTGTGATAAGTCCGATGATAATTTAGTTACTTTGACCAGTCATATAGAAAACATATCTTAAAAGTTTTACAATATGCCGCAAAAACAAAGAGCCTTTTCTGCAAACCACAGAAATGATCACTCATACATGCTCCCCGTAACTATGATCAGTTGATATAAGTTTCTATTAATTACTGTGATAAGTCCGATGATAATTTAGATAGGTACTTTGATCAGTCATATAGAAATTAAGTTGTTACCGTGATCGGTGCAATGAAGTGAAGTTTGTTGGCAGCTGTCGAGTCGGCGGTTCGGCCGTCAGCACACAGCGGCGGCGGGACACGACCACAAGGTGCTCGTAGTTTGGCTCGAGAACTACAGCGACTGGACCAACTTCCCTACCAGTGAGCAGCTCGTTATTTCCTTATAGCTTTTTCTGATTCGCGTCGAGCACTTTTCTGCACTTGGATGATATTCTAGTTTCTAGTTCTAGTAATTTTATTTTCTAGTTTGATGGTTTCTCTATTCAGGAAGCATACTTCTATATATTCTTCATACGTATAACTAATCTAATATTCTAATTCTGAAACACCTTATCTTCCGAAAGATGGGAAATTTAAGGGGAGCGTCTACCCTAAAATTGAAAATTTTTACTTTTTCGGTTTTTATACTAATTTTAAAGCTGACATTCTGCCCTATCCAACGGTACAAAAAATGCTCCCACATCCACAAAAATTCGAAATTCGAAAAAAGCTACGACGAATCGATAGATATGGTCCTTACGCATCGAATGATATGCGTCTCGATGTTGTAGCTTGAAAATTCTAGGAGGAGATAGATTTCTACAGTACCCCCTTTTTTGGCCGTTTTCCAAGAATTTCACGTTTTCTTTAATTTTTTTTCGAAAAATTGACACGAATAAAAGCTGTCTATTTTTTTATTTTACATATGTGTACCAAGTTTCAAAGTGATCCGTCTGTAAATAGCCGAGATAATTTTTGGGGCAGACGCTCCCCTTAAAATAACACTGCACTTTTTCACGCTCCAGTGCTTCAAGTGTAGACGTTTCTAGTTTTATTCATTATACGACAGGAATGCCATTTTTACTAATTGAAATCATTCTAAACCTTCGTAAATTGCACAATTAATAAGCCAAGTCTCGCTTCTATCAGGTCCCATTACAGGCTATTACTTTCCATCCAATTCTAATTACCAACCTTATATCAAAGTGCTCATCCGCATTAAACAGTAGTTTTTATCCGAATTATATCTAATTTATCATTCTAGTAATACATTTGTGTTTAAACGGTCAATCTTGTTTTGGTGCTCAGCGGCGCTGCTGCCCGAGTGCGCGACGGGCCTCGAGTATCCGGGCTGGCGGGACCGAGACCCGCCCCTCGTGTCGCTAATCTTCCTCCATCCCCTCGAGAACGGCCTCTTCCGCGTCAAGCTTCAGTCTTTCGGCAATAAGTAAGAGAGACAATCTTGACGCAACAGCTGAAGGTAGTTTATTTTATTTTTTTACCTCGTATTGTTAATCACTGATAGTGAGACTCATTTTTCCCTAAGTGAAATCGTTTTAGGCTATTCGATTAGAAAAGATTATCATTGTAACGATGCATATCATCATTTAATCGATGCTAATGTTTATGGAAACATTGAGTATGGTCTGATTTGACTGCGTGACGCAGGTTGATGGTGGCAGGCCCGCTGGTGTCAGGCCAGGTGGTAAGTCGTCGTGTGCTGGGCTCTCTGGTGCGCCAGACGGCGCTTAATATGGCGCGAAGGAGGCGACTTGATTGTGACAGGTGAGCTTAACCGAGCTCAGTTTTATAATTCGTTCATTGAACATTTCATATGGACCTACAATATTCGTTTGATTCATTTTTATTTTATATAGTGTAATTTCAGATTGTAATTGGTCAAGTTGTCGCCGATTCTTAACCAACGAAATTCAATTTAAAGCAGAATTTTACAATCATTCGTAGGTTTCGAACCCTCAGCTGGTTGCTTCAATCTTGATGATCTTATCCACTCGGTCGCCTCGAGCAGTTTTGCCCGTTAGTTTTTCAAACTGCATGTTAGATCGCCTTCGATCTATACTAAATATTTATTAGTAAAAAGCAAAATTTACCAGTCAACATATGCACATTAATTTGCTGTGTTTTTTTTTTCTTCGATCAGTCACCAGCCCCCGCACGTACGCCGGAAGCTACGCATCCAAGAGATGGTGCAGAAGTATCGCTTTGACATGACCGAGCCCGAGTTTTATTCTCATCTCTTCACCAGCCCGCTGTGTTAAGGCGCGGTGACCAGGTGCTCAAATTACGACCCTGCATTATCCTACTCTCAATTAAATGCAGGATCTCAGTTTTCTTGAGGTCAGATTGTTGGGCAACCAGCATTTCGGGCAAACTAGCCCGATTAAGATGCTCAGGCGTCGTAACTCCCGGAAATGTTTAATAACTATTTTGCATCGTTAATTATAAGAAACTCTTAATAATCCAATTATTTATACTCTGTACAAATTGCAATATCTGATAAAATTATTAGCATATATAATAATAATAATATTTATATCGCTGCGGACCTTTTTACATAAATATGCAAAAAAAATTTTCGAATACAACTTAAGCTCTTATTGAATCGTTTAATTTTGTTGAGACCCTTCCGATTTCAGCATTGATGTATCCAGTTGTTACTATGAGCGTTGTGAAATAACCATAACTTAAATCCGGGGTTAATTTTCCTTATACTAAGCGAATGCCGAGCTTTTCATATAAGGGGTATTCACGACATGATTTGTATATCCTTTTCTCTGCTGCATTGAATCTATGCGCGACAGGCTCTTTAGCTGCGACGTCTCAGAAATCAAAATGCCGGTTACGGGTGAAAACTGAGAATGTTTCACGAGTGGTAATTTTAGGGCAGCTAAGGGGTTTAGTGTCCCGAAGTCTCATTGCAGGCAATTGTGCGAGGCCTGAAGTCTCATTGTGGCAATTGTGCAATTGCCTCATTGCAGGCAATGTTTCGGGAGTCCAATTTCCTTTGGTTCTTAGAATTGAAGCCTTCTTATTTGTCTACTGTATTCTTGTTTTAGATTCGCCTGACGAGGGCGCTACATCATTTCATGTTATTGACCTCATTTTTACATCTCCTGCTACTCTGTTCAATTTTATTGAATTTAATACGGTAATAATTTTGTTAGCCGCCACTGGGAAAGGTGAAGCGGGAAAATTCCCACTGGTTCAAAAGGGAAAACGAGAGAAAATAAGCCGACACCATTGGGGTAATCGAACAGAAGTCAACTCTTACACCAGATAATGATAACTTCAGATTCCATCAGATGTGGGAAATAGTTGGTTAACCCTCGCCCATACTCGAAGTCATACTCGAAGAAAATAAAGGTTGATGGCAGAAGCTCATATTTACTTTATCACATATAAAAAATTAGCGTTTAGACAAGTAAAAAATAGCATACATACATTGTATTTACAGCATTGAATCGATGTTCTTCTATAATGTTAGTGACTAACTGGCATAAATCATGACTTAGATTAAAGCAGGTAAGCAGTTCTACGGCATCCAGTGGCCAGAGCAGAGGCAGCACGAGCTCCAGAGCTGTTCCCAAGGGTTGTCAGGATCATGTTCTGCCGAGCGCACACTCCAACACCTGGCGATGAAAGGAGACATTCAAGCCTCAAGACATGTATTTTAATTGTCGAGGAAAGTGCAACTGTGACCATAGCTCTATGACAACAGTTGGGTTTATGGTCAAGTGCACAAAAGCGTCTTATTCTTGTTGTGGCTTGACTGACTTGGAAAAAGATAACATTCAAGGACGAAGTACCGTTCCTACTTCAAACATTTTTCAAATCAAAACTTACTATAACTCATCCATCAGACTATACACTCATGCCGTGGACAGTGAGCGTTGAATGAGTCCAGTAGCGCCATATAAATATTAGCACCACTCCAATTGTACATGTTTAGATGCCACTTAATCTTTTCCTAACACATTCTACAAAACCAAACTATTCCAACCCAAGATATTTAAACCAACAAAACCAAGGCTAACTATGAAAGTTCCGATTATTTAATTTAGATTATAATACACATTTTCAAATTTTAGAAGAAAAACTAACTCTGCATTGATCAAACTATATTCGTTTTCTACTCGACTTGCAATACGCAAGCAAAAAAGACTTGTATGAATATGAGTGACCTGGAGCAGTGAAGTTTGGGGGCGTCTTTAGGAATGAAGTGAAGGAAGAGAGGATCACGCGGGTTGGCGGGAGGAAGACCTCCTTCTAGCTGATAGTTGCTTAGTGGGGGGGCCTCGTCCTTCTCGCCGTGCTGGTACTGTCAAAATAATAGTGCATATCAGATGCTTATTTGTCTCTAAAAAATGCTCATTTAATCTATAAAAAATCGTTATGACTAATAGGTTGGTTCATGATCAGATAGAGCATCACTTTGATTATTGAAGCAGTAGAAACGAGTGAGAATTAAATTATTAAGAAAAAGTATTTGAATCGAAATTTTAGGTTTCAAATCTCATGAACTAAATATTTGCAGTAGTGGCCTCTAATTACATTACTGTAAAACAACCTCCGGTAGGACTTTAAGTAGGATCGGAAATTTATTCAAATTAATGCCGCATTACTTGAAAAAGAATTTTGCAGACTTGTAAGCGGAACTCAAAATAAGTGGAGAAACAGCAGCTAATAATAATAATAATAATAATAATAAAAACAATGGCATCATAATCTACTACTCACTACATGGAACCTCAAATAATTGGACATTTAGCAGCTAATAGTATCAATAATAAGAATAGCCAGTTTATTGACAACTGACGTGGACAGGAGAGTGTAGCACGGTAGCAGGACCAGAGAGAGCAGCGGAGGTGACGGTTGTGAGGTACCCGCGCGCCGGCAAGCTCAGTGAGAGGCTGCGACCCAGCACTTGTGTCTCCAGCAGTACCACTTCGTCTGCAATAAAACTAACATTAATTTGAGGTGAAAAAATTAACGAGAAGTTCTTTAGATGCTCGTTTAAGGTATTATGAGGACCTCATACTCCTTAAGATAGAATATTTTTCAAAAAAAGTAATCGCATGGTTTCTTTCGAAGAAGAATTACGCCTAGAAATAACATAAGATCTAGTAATGATTATTGACTTTATATTGAGACTGATTGCAACAGAGAGCATGTTTACAACTCCAAAAAACTTAGAATACAATGAATTTTTCTATACAATAAAAAGACAAGAAAAAAACTGACGCGGATGAAACTTACATATGAAATTAAACTTGGTAGCAGTGAAGTCGATGGTAACGCTGATGAAAAACCAACAATCGACAGCAATAAACAAAGAAAACCAGTAACGAAACCTCAAAGAAATTATAACAAGGAGAGCGAATAACGAAAGGCTGACCAAAGACGGAGCTAAAATACAGACGAGTGTCGGGAAACCTCATGCAAGTGTGCCCAGCCACGCTGCATTGAGGTGCAGTTCCATTCATTTCTACTTAGGCACGAACAGCAAAATTATAAGCAGGAACAATTACAGGAATATATATGAAAAAACTAGCTTGAAGCACGTAACACAAACTGAAAACAGCACACAAAGCGCAATCATTCTTCCTAAAATAATGGAGTAGAAATTGAACACTAATGCAATACAATAAGCGATACAAATAACTTTCAAAGTAGAAAAATCGGCATTAAAAGTGATTGAATAGATCAGGAAGGGAATAATCAATAAGAACTAAACAAATTTGTAAAAAAAAAACAGAAACATTCAGATTTCTTCTTTGCCAGGATTTACGTAGAGAAAAACGACGTTGGACTCTCTAGGTGACATAGTACTAGGCGCCGAACATAACACCTGACTTGCGCGGGAGGTGTCGATAGCTGGCAGTGCGCGCGATTTCTTACGGATCATTGGTTCCAACTCGTCTTCAACAGCATCATCTTCATCATGGTCAATTTCTTCAACGGCTTCATTTATAGCTTTGTCTACGTGAGCTTGCTCAGCAAGCTTCTCGGCTTTCTGCAACTCGGTATATTGGCTTTGGTTCGTCTCTCGATCAATTCGTTGACACGGCGCCTCCTCACAGGACGACCGATCTTCGGCGCTCATCAGGGGAGCTGTAACATCACCGTCAGAAGATTGGTTGTCCGAGTCCTTACTAATGTCACTCTGAACGTGGACTTGGCAGTTTGTGTTTCCCCTGATAATTTCCCCTTCCAATTCATCGTCGGATTTATTCGATGTTCCTTCTTCGGACTTGATCGATCCTAAACAATCAGAGAGAAATTCGCCTGATTGGGTGAGCTTCTTGCGGTCAGCCAAAGAGCTCTCCGACCGATTCAGGCTTCCAGCGGACTGTGAATCCAAGTCGAGCTGTGAAGCTGTACGCTCCACAGAGATGATGTCCTGCGAGTCACCAGCAACGAGCTTGTCTCGGGATGACTTCTGACTAGACGCTGAGCTATCATCGCCATCTTTGTCCAGAGACACGGCATCGTATGTGGAGAGAGCTGCGGAAGCAGCAGCCGAGTTCGCAACACGATCAGCTTTTCCGTTTTTAGTGGAGGCTTTGAGAGGAGTGAGTTCATTTTCTTCTTTTACACTCACGCCTGATTGACGTTTATAACTCGCAGATTTATTGGGAGAGGTATGCTCGCTAGGAGCCATCAGTGGCAAAAATCCGGCAAGAAGCAACATCCACACTAGGGCAGCCAGAAGCCAATAACCGTGTAGCCAATACCCAGGGCTCATGACCATAGGTGCAACCGCTCCGGCTGGGGTGAGTAGAACAGGCAGAATCCAGAAGAGGAAAAGCACGAAGAAACAAGCCACAGCAACTGGATACAAAATTGTCAAGCCCAAGATGAGTAGAAGCCTGTCATCATCGTTCGGCAGAAACACTTCCTTTGCTTTAACACCCATGATGATGAAGTTGCCCGTTATAATTTAAACAATTGAACCTAAGCAATTAATATATTAACAAATGACAAATAAATTTGATAGCAAAAAATTAATAAAAATCAACGAATGCATCCAAACTTCTTGACAAAGGCGTGCCGTGAATGTGACGAAGGCTCAGGCAAAACTACGCGACCGCAATAACTTGGTCAGGGATGGCCAGCGTCCGCTAGCGGCAATGTGCTATCTGCAGGACAGGACGCGCTCCATGATAAGCTCCACACGACGCACTTAAAATAAAGTAACACTAAACACAACTTCACCTTAGCATGCATCCAAAATCATACAAGACAATTCACAACTGTACAAATTTACATTATAAGCAAGCCGTAGAAATATATACACAAAAACATTAAATCATAACATGCTTCGAGTTTTTAAAGCGATGTTCTTCGAGAAAAAAAAATAAAGAAAATTTGCACCACCAATGTATCAGTTGAGTTAATTTCGCTTCCCCAAAATAAACTTAATTCGTCGAGTACCTAGAAGCCAACAATTAGTTAAAATTATGGAACAGTAATTAAACAGATATAAAATTTCCAAGCTGATACTACTACGTTAAAAGAATTCCAAAATATTCTTTCAGTTTTAGAATTGAATGAAGATGTCCACAGATGAAAATATTTCTCCAATGGCGGCAAATTTCTTCTCGAGCTCATAAAACCTTTCGTTGTCGCTCAGGTTGAGACTGGTTCCAATATGAACTCCGTGCACGTAGAGATGTAACCTACGATATTTCATGGGCCGCTCTTCGGATTGGCTCGAGAACTGGCGCTGCAGCAGCACATCTTGCTGAGGCGACTGAGCCATAAGGTCAGGAACCGAGTCTGCCATGTCATAATCATAGGCCTCAGGAGGAGGCGGAGGAAATTCGATTTGGTGGTCATTCTGAATCTGTCGCGGTGCAGGGGGAGGAGGTGGCTTATGATGGACTGCTCCTTTCAGTTGTTGCTCCAACTGCTGCTTGAACAGCTGGCGCTGCTGGAGCTGTCCTCCACCAGCGGAGTTACTTTCTTGCTCCTCAGCGACGTGAGGTGGAAGAGTTGGACGCCGTTTAATGGAACTCGATTGCCATGCAGGATTTCGGTAGCGCGTAGTGCCGCGATCCTGGTGTTCTTGAACGCAAGTTTCAGAACCAGTGTCACCAGCGGTAGTTTCCTGGGGTTGGCTTTCCAAAGCTTGATCGGAAGACATCGTAGCTTGCCGCTCCTGTCGAGACTTGAGCTTCACCTTGAGTTGATTCTGCAAGGCGTTCATGTCCACCATCATGGGGACAGGTTGTGGCGTACTCATCACTACACTTTTGTTTAACGGTTAAACCAAAGAATGAGTTGCTAGAAATCTATTAGAGCAAATAAACCTGAAAAGTGTGTTTAAAAATATTAAACATTCTGAAAGATGTACCCTATACACATCACACCCTACTAAAATTTAGTTTTGAGGATCGTCGAAAATCATGCCTTGTCGCTTCAGAACATGCCTCTTATCTGTGGACTTAAGGGAAGGTCTACCGACGTAAGGCCCTTCTGTGAGCGATTTTAACTGGTTTTCAACAACAGGCTGTTCTGTAAGAGTTTCAGACTGGGCTTGAACAACAGGCTGTTCTGTAAGAGTTTCAGACTGGGCTTGAACAACAGGCTGTTCTGTAAGAGTTTCAGACTGGGCTTCAACAACAGGCAGTTCTGCAAGGGTTTCAGACTGATTTTTAAAGGAAGGCACATCGAAATCATTTGATTTGACTTCGACGTCAATTGGAGTTATTTCATCATCGTATCCCTCTTCGGTGACAGGAGGGAGACTAGCCGTAGAATCAAGTCGTACCAAAGAAAGATATTTATCAAAAGATCGCTGGTCAGGCAAGCCCTGGAACGAGTCTTGTTTCGGCAGGAATTTATCTACACCAGCGGGTCTGGGACTCGTAGAATCAGGCTGCGTCGTACAAGTCTCGGTGTTAGCTGCCGAAACGTTAGATGGGGGTTCAAAATGACTACTCTCTTTGAGGTCTTTTTCGAGCCGTTCAACCGCATCTAAAATCAGCTGATCATCATCGTCAGCTGGAGAAGAAGAATAAAATGTATTAGTAATCCTACAATCGACGCCAAGATTGCAATTTGACCCAGATAATTGATCTTCGGGGAAGTCTTCAAAAGCAGAATCGTCACCCTGATTAGGCTCAACAGAAAAAGCTAGATTATCGAAATGGTAGCCTTCATCATCTACAGAACACAGCAGATGAGAGCGGCTCAGAGTGCCGTATGAGGGAACAGGATTCTTTTCACGGTCAACCAGAGTTGACGCGTCATAGGCAATGCTGACGCGAGACGCTCCACTATCTACACCTCTAGCATTTACACTTTCCAGTTTAGAATTTTCTTCGAATTCGGGCGTATTTGGAGTATCAGGAATAGAGTTATGCTCACTCCCGCTGCTCTGATGTGGCGAATGATCAACTTTTGTTCTACGATTGCTCAGGAACTTATTTACATCAAACAGCACACTTGCGGGTCGGTTCCGAAACTCGTAAATGGATCGTCCATCCACAGCACGTTTATAACTTGAATTCCGAACTGAAGACCTTTGAATACCTGGAGGATCACGATTTGTGGAACGTTTGCGCTCGACTACATCAGCACTTTCATTATTAGACGAGCTGTCATTTCTTTCACGAGTTCTCGATACATATTTATCTTCAACATCAAGAGCTGTGTTGAGTTCACCGCTACTTAAGTCTACCCTATATTCACCTTTGTCTGCATTAATTTTTGTAAGAGTCACAGTACCATCCCGTAGAGCAACACCATCAAGCAAACCATCATCTATGCCGTGTTCTTGGCGTCTCAAGACAATGCAGAGCCCGATTCCACCACACAAGAGCAGCAGCAACAGGATGCTACCGATGATAACACCAAGTAAGAGCCGTGTGTAAGCGGCGCGATCTTCACTGTGTTCTACCGAACTGTTATCTGACTTTACAGGCAAGTGACTATATGATAACAGA